ACGAGAGAAAGAGCGGGGAGGCTCTTTAAGGATGCGCGGAAGGAGCAGGAGCTGCAGGAATCCAAGTCTGGAGTCCTCTGCACGCTTGCCCCAGAGATAGCCTCGCTGAACTTGGCGAAACCTATTTCCGATTAACTCCCAGGAATAAATCCAGTTCAGTTCCGTGCAACTCGCTCTCTGTGCAGAGTACAATACAATAAGGATTAGCATCACTGAAAACGTTAAATAAAATGAAGCCCATTTGTATTCTTCAGAGAAGTCATTGGCAAAGGCTTTTATTGGTGAGGGTCCTAAGGATCTGTGCACTGGACACGCGTGTTTTAGCGCGTCAGCCCACGCGGTCGTTCATGCCAGCCGCGGAGGAAGGCGGCACGAGAAACAGGGGCGCCCGCGGTGTGCACAGATCTGCGCGAAGCGCAAGCGATCTGAGCATGAGGGCCTCCCCGTCTTCTCTTCCCTAAACGCCCCCTCCCTCCCCGCCGCCAGTGAAAGTCGAGGCGGCCGACGTGGGCTGCCAGCCTTCGCCTCCGTCCCCTCTCACAGCAGCCTTCCAGCTTGTGTCCGTGGCCGTCAGCTGTCAACAGCGCTGCGTACCTGCCCGCCACGCAACCGGAGTCGTGCCCCCCCACCTCAGTGCAAATTGTCTTCCAACAAGGATTTTCTTTCTTTACCATTGCAGGCAATTGTATACCGCTGGATATCTATTTCTAGGGAGAGGAGACGGAGAAGGCGGAGGGGCTGGGTGAGGTGAGGAGTGAATGCTCCTCTAAGTACCAGGAGGTAAGCCCAGCGCAGTTCAGTGGGGCTGACTTCCAGGGAGACGTGTTTCAGAACGGGATGGCAGAGGTCCGCGATCCGGCAAGGGGCGGCATAGAAATGTTTTAATAAATAAAATAAATAAATCCGGGAAGAAGGTGGGGAGGCGGACCGTTGCTGGGCTGCAGAGGGAATTATACGGATACGAGTCTGGAAAGGAGAGCGGACAGGCAGCTCCGCAGCTCGGTGGAGTTGCCCGGGAGTTCTTTCCCCAAGCAGAGTCCCACGAACTGCTCCTGGTTCCTCGCACTCAAAGCAGTCCCCCCTGAACGGAGTGCGAATGACTTCTAAGCAAACATGCATGTGTCAGAAACGGGTTCATGTCAGGGCTTCCGCGCCCCCGTTATTTGTCCCTCTCTTTGATTTAAAGCCGAACACGTGCATGCCGGGGACATCCCCAGACCCCAGAGATGTCCAGGGGGGCAATTTGGTCGTTCTGGTGCCTCGCCCGCCTTGCATTCACCCCGCGGACTTCCCTCTCCCGTGCGTTCGTTCTTTCCTTACTATTTGAGCAAAAGGCACGCGAGATTTCGGGTGTACGAGAAACCGGGAGGGTTGCTAGTATTGCCAAATATGTTAGGTATCACTGTGTACAGCTTCACGTTTTAATCGGCATTAAAGGCCTCAGGTCTAAGCCGCGCGGAGCACGTCTCCCCCGGGAGGCGAGAATGCCGCGCCAGTTCAGGCGACTTGCTGCTGCGCTGCGAATTCCCCAGGACGTAAACGCAAAGCAAAGGCTTGCGCGCACCGGCTCGTTTTAGAAAACGCTTCCCGGTGACACGCGACTCTTCTCCTGCCTTGCTGGGTTGGAGACCCCGAATCAACGCTAAAACAAGCAACACGCGCAAATACTTCCACCCGCACGCGAACGCCTGCGGCAGAGGAGTCCCGTTCCGACCGTAGTGCCGAGGGCAGGGGAGATGGGCTGCTCCCCCCAGGGGTCTTTCCAGCGGCCACCAGCCCTCTCCATGCAGGCTGAGGCAGGCAGCTGCAAGAGGTCAGAGGGAGCCCCCGCGCCGGCACGCAGCTGCTGGCGCGAAATCGCCCCCTGGAACTGTACTTCGCACAGTAAAACATTTCTTGGGAAAGCAGCCGCAACTGCTCTTCCAGATTACTGGCACTTGGGAAACCTCTCCTCACTTTCCCGATGCTCGAGCTTGGCTGAGGGCATCGGGGCACCTGCCGCGACATCCTCAGGGTCAGAGAATGAACCTCAAGTCCGCATGCGATGTCTCTGCGGCCGCGTCGCGGTGGGGAAGGGGCGAGGGCTTGGGGGTCGTTGACTGCACGCTCGTCAGCCCAGGTCGGGCAAGAGGATGTTTCCAGACGCCTTTTCTGCCTTGTTTGCAAGGGACTTTGCTGAGATTCGATTCCCTTTCTGGCTCAGATCGGTGTCCTACAATCCTCTCGTATTCCTTCTGTGCGATTTTGTTTTAAAATAAAATTGCTCCAAGTAAGTGAGGTGTACGTTGTTAAAATGTTCAAACTCATAAATGAAAGCAGAGGGTCTCTCCCTCCCCCCTCACCCCTTCCCTGCATGGAAAAGCTTTGCTCATTTCCACCTGTGATTCTTATACCACATTTATGAACTTAGACACTAAAGTGACTGATCAATGTAAGCACAAGGACTCTTTGAAATTTATTTAATTAGAGTATTACTTTAATTTAATATTCATGCATACCTTTGGTGTTATACATTTTATGCATAATATTGGATGTGCATGCATTTAGACACAGGATATACTGTTATCCTGAAACTATGGGACACTGTTTGAGAACTCCCATTAGTGAGCAACCTTGCTAATTTTCACAGAGTTGTGGAGCAGAAGGATTCCTGGGAAACGTTCCCTTGCTCCTGGCCCCTAATCCCAGCGTTAGGGAAGAAACAATACTTTCAGTGGACTTTATTTGTATCCAGACAATCTCTGCCTTTACGGCCAGATCCTGTGGATGTTTGCTCAGAAGTGCTCGATGGCGGTTGTTCTCTGGTAAAACATCTGCCTAGGATTTCAGTCTAACTAGGACTGCAAATACAGAGGCTCTTACCAGTGCTGGAGCAGACCCATATTATCATTATTATTACATTACATTTCTATACTGTCGTTGAAGCAATCTGGGCAGTTCACAACATTTTAAGTCACCCATCCACAGTTCAATAAGGCCCAACCCTGCTTAGCTTCCAAGGTGAGGCAGGGTCAGGCACTTCAGGCTAACAGCCTCTCCTGGGACAGAACCCAGAGTTCAGATTTAGTCCCTCCAGTCCTACGCACAAATGCATGGTTTCCTTGTGCTTTTTGTCTAATGCCTGTGCTTGGAGGACAAGACTTTGGAGCGGAACTAATGGCCATTTTAAGCGTGCTTCTGCCTTGCTTTGTGCTGGCGTGCCTTGTTTCTGCCTGGCCATCCGGGTTTGGCTGGACACAGTTGCCCCACCGCCCAAGCTCTGCTGCCCTCTTGATCGCTTGGTCTATGTGGAATCCATTTAAAAGGCTTCAGGATAGGACCAAATGATTCCCTGTCTCTGGTTACGGAGGGGGTGAACTAGGTGGGGGAGGTGCAATGAAAACCACAGGTCACTAGTGTTTGCCAAATCATCCTTCCCACCAAGGGGATCCATCGCAAAGCCTCATAACCTGAGTGCTGCCCTGACGTTTTCATGAGTCCCTTACAATGAGATATAGCATTTCTTCTGATACTTGCAAAGAGGCATTTCTTCCGATATTGTGAAGTGCAGAAATCTATCCAGGCAGCACACAAGTGCCCTGCTTCTGTTCCAACAGGGCATTCATTCAGGACTTAATCACGGCTCGGGTTTCTCTCCCACTGCAGACACAGTACAGCAAGGCTAGCAGAAGGCTGCTGCTCTCCAACTTGGTGCCTTCCAGATGTTTTTGACCAGGATCCTCAGGACTCCTAGCCAGTAGGTGGAGGCTGAGAGGAGTTGAAACATGTTTGAAACATGTGCGGGGCACCAGGTTGGGAAACACTGTATTGTATGATCAGTTATTGCTGATCGGAATGATCCCTATATTATCTTAGGATATATTTCTTTTCAAAGAAACATCCCAATGGTCGCAAGCCTTTGCATTTCACAAGGCTTTGTTTCTAACATGCCCTTTCTCATCTCCATGTTTATTCCTGTAAATATCAATGTATCTGACACCAGAGGTCAGACGTTTGTGCACCTGATGACATGGGCTTTGGTACACGAGAAGAATCACAACACAGATTTTGTTATTCTTGAAATGTCATGCACCCTTCCAATCTTAATAGAATTACTGGGATTTTGTGAATTTCAAAAATGCTTACTTCTAAGTACTTGTGCTTAAGATCATAGATTTCACATCCTTTACAGTAAGTTCAATTCAGTTCTGCTTATTTTGTTGATGAGCTTTGGTTGTTCCCTCCATTTTCAGCACTAACTTAGGTCCATTTGAATTCTGGGCGTTAATGTTACACTGTCAGTAACATTAGTTTCACTGAATTGTCTGTCCTTTTAAAATGAATGATCCATCCCCCAAAGTTAAGCTTATTTACATTAAATTTAAGGGAAGCAAATCAAGGGTGTACCTAATTGTACCACTCAACTCAGCGGAATTGTACTGCAGTTCTCTTATTCAGAAAGTGTGGAACCTGTGGAAACCGGCTTTTATAGAATGCAACACAAAACCCAGGTCTGCCGTGCTAACGATGGCCTGTGGCACACATTTTGTGGACAAGACCTCCTTTCATCAGATGCATGTGGGATCTCTAAATTTTGGACTACAAGTTCTATCAGTACCAGACAAAATGGTCAATGGTCAGGGATGCCGGGAGTTGTGTAAATCATATTATCCAAAGGGCACTGTGTTGGAAATTAATACTTTTGAAAATGAGAATGTTTATACTCTTAATTTTTTCTCCTTTGGGTTTTTCCATACTAAATATTTTATAGAAATATTGAAACATAGAAACAGAACAAGTCAGAAGGGGCTTCCCAGGCCATTTAGTCTGATCTTTGGCTCCAGCTGACTCTGCTCATGACATGCCTATAATGTGCATGTCCAACTTATCCTGGAACATCCTCACCGATGGGGCTTCAACCACCTCCCATGGAAGCCCATTCCACATGCTCAGGGTCCTGACTGTCAGGAAGTACTTCCTGGCATCCAAATTGAACCTTGGCTCCCTGAGCTTTGCTTCATTGGAACACATCCTGCCCTCCTCTGCAGGGGAAAAAACAGGTCTCTTTCCATCTCTGTGTGATACCCTCTCACATTATGTTGCAAACAGTTCCCCTCAGAATCTCCTCTTCTCCAGGCTGAAAAGACCCAGTTCCCTCAGTCTTGCCTAATACGGCTTTCCCTGCAATCCGGTCCCCATCCTTGTGGCCCTTTGCTGCACCGACTCTAACCTGGCTATATCCTTCCTGCAATGTGGATCCCAGAAATGAACACAATACTCCAGTTGCAGGTGCACCAGAATCGTATAGAGTGGCAGTAATAGAGGTCCCTTTCACAAGTGCTGCTCTCCAGCCACTTGTCCTCTAACCTGTACTTATGACTTACATTTCTATGCCCCAAGTGCAAGACCTTGCACTTAACCACATCGAACACCATCCTGTTGTCCCCTGCTCACTTCCACAGTCTGTCCAGATCCTTCTGGATCCAGAGTACCAGCTCCTCAGTTGTGGCCACCACCCCCATTTTAGTATCATCTGTGAATTTGATCAGCAGACTGGTCACCCCCTCTTCCATGTTGTTGATGAAAAGATTGAACAGGATTGGTCCCAGGACAGAGCCCTGGGGGATCCTACTCGTCACTGGCTGCATCTTGATGATTCCCCACTAATAGTTATCCTCTGCTATTGGTCCATCAACCATGTCCTAATCTGTCAGGTAGTGCATTGGTTTATCTCCAAGCTGCTCAATTTCAGTACCAGGATATCATGAGGCACTTTGTCAAAGGCCTTGCTGAAATCCAGGTGAACTACATCCACCATGTCCCCTCCATCTAGTCACCTCAAAAGCTTGTCATTGAATTCCACAGAGTTCATCTGGCAGGACCTGTTTTTGCGGAACCCGTGTTGCGGCTTATGCAGGGTCACTAGATCCCTCACTATTATGAGCCCTCCCATTGTCTTTTCTGGAATGGATGTAAGGCTAACCAGCCTGTAATACCCCATGTCCCTCTACTACCCTTTTTGAAAACCGGGACCACTGACGCTGCCCTCCAGTCCTCTGGAACCTCACCCGTTCTCCATGAGGCCTCAAAAATGGAGGGCAGCAGGCGTGAGAGAACCTCTGCCAACCCCCAAAGTACCCTTGGGTGTAACCCATCAGGGACCAGCGCCTTTGTAGCATCCAGTGCCCTGAGGAGCTCCTCCAATGACATCCTTATTTGTTGAGAGATCCATAAGCCAAACTGTTATGATCCAAAAAAGAGGCATTTTTGTCTTTTAAAGCAGGGGCCATTTGAAATATTCCATTTTTTAAAAAAAGTTTTCCTAGCTTTCTTATGACGTCACTTGGAAAACCCTCCTGCTCAGAGGACCCAGGAGCCTTAGGATCCCAGTGTAGCAGGATCCAACCCATATGCTGTGCTGTCGATGTTTTCCTCTCCACCTCTTTGTGGAATAGCTCTGACAAGCAGATACCCCATGCAAGCTTTTCTTTTCTCCAGGAAGAGGAGGTGGTGATTTTACTGAGAAGGAGCAGGATCTAGTCTTGTTCTCTTGTGCAGCTGCAGCTTTTGTCAAGGGGAGAGGGAGCACAACTCGGGCAGTTGGCCCGGCCATGAGGCTGAGTGAGGCAGCAAATGCTGGGTGGCACGGGGCAAAAACAGAGTGTTGGACGATGGAGCTGCCTGTGCAGTCTGCCCTGTGCCCCGTAAGCTATTCTGCTGCCCCCTAGTACAGGCAGTCGATATTGCCTTCAGTCACCATTGCTGAGGTAGGATTCAGCTGCCAGTCGGCTTCTGTATGCGGACCAGAAGGATGGTGCTGGCGAATCCTGCCCTTTGCCTCAGGCGCCAACATGACTGATAGGCTGCCTGTTCCAACTGGACTGAAATGGGTCGGGGGAGTGAGAGGATGGCCCCTCTGATGCAGCAGATGCCCATCGTTTTTACTAGGACTTGTGGTCATTCCATCCCAAACAGGGCAACAATAGGTGTATTACTTGCCAGTCCCAAATAAGCCAATTTGTAAGATTTGGGATACATTTTCTCATTGCCAGTCACCAGCTAAGGCATCATCCCTCCTTAAAGGGTTGGTGGCTCTCCTTATCACAGCCAAACCCTAAAGCTTGCATGCAAGTTGAAGAGCTTTGATGCTCTCCAGTATAGATGGCAGGCAGGTGTGATAAAATAAATATTTAGGCTGAGGCACAGCCAAAATATTTAGTTTTTTCAAGAGTGCAAAATCTGGCCACATTTCAAATTTGAGTATGAATATTTATATCCTGATTCAAAGCCAAGATTGCTAGACTTGGCATCTCTTGACTTAAAAGAAAAAAAAAGTGTTTGACCTCCCGTGACTTTGTTTTTTACTGTCTCCAGGGTCAAATTCCTCACAGGCCTATTCGTTTTCAATACAGTAGCATACCGTTGCATGTCAGCTTTCAACTAAATTGCATGCTAATGCTATTGCATGGCAGCTATCGAACACTGGCAACTGCTTATGAGGCTGAGGATCCCTTTCATCTGCCTAAGGCCACATCACAGTAATCCGCTGAGTGCCACGTTTTGACAGTGGGCAGATCCAAGATCAACAGTGAGCCGGACAGCCCCTGCTTTCTCTGCTGTACCTTCTTTCTCATTCTGTTCTGAAGTTCTGCCTGGATGTGCCACTAGCAGAGAAAGCATCTATGTATGAGTTTATGTTTGCAGGCCTAGACAGAAAATCTTTAGTATGATTTCTCAGTAGGCCTGAATCCAAACACTGCTATACTTCCTTCCCCAAGTTAATTACTTGATCTGTCACCAAAATTCTTTTTGTCCTCCCTCTCTCTCTCACTGTCCTGTATAGAAACAATATGAATTCCACACATATTTGCAGATGCAGGTTTTTCTGTGTACATGAAGCATACATGTGCTTGAAAGTTAATCTACTGTAGCCTCCCAGTAAATGTACACACATAGTAAAAGCAAAGCAAAAATGTGAGATTGTCATACTTGTGAACTGTCCAGAGAGCCCTGTGGGCTATGGGGCAGTATAAAAATGTAATTAATAAATAAATTCGGCTGCTGACACTCCTTTCTTTCCCCTCCTCAGCTTTTCTCCTCCCTGTCAAGCAGGATGCTGGGAGAAGGAAAGATGGCCCTTGCTCTCTCAACCTATCTTTGTAGGGGGCTCTGGATGCACCAAAGGACCATGTAAAATCAAGGAGAGGACTGTACCAGGCTTGAGGGCTGCAGGCTGTCCAGTCCTGTATCAAGTACAGACACTATCTTGCAAAATGTCAGAAAAAACTTGCTGTCCCCCCAAGAAGCCCCTTCTGTGGGTTGGATGACTCCATGGCTCCTCAAATGGAGGTTGAAAGCGATGGAACATGCAGCTGCTCACCCGCAACTCCTTCTTTTGAGGGGGTGCAGCTTTGGGCTGGGGAAAGGGGTCCCATGGAATGAAGGTTTCCTATCCCTGATGTAGGGTAAATTGGACATCAAAACTCACAAAAGGGACCTCTTGGAGGCACTTTTCCTTCTTCATAACTTAGTTTCATTGTCAAATAGAGTTCTTTTTCTTTAAGCACCTCACAGAGAGACTGCTTATATGGGGGAGTTTATCACAACCATGGTTTATTTTTGCTTTTTAAAAGCTAGTAATCCCCTCCCTGCAAATGTAACTTGATACCTTGCTGCATACCCTTAAACCACAAAATAAACTTGCTGCTCCAAGACACAATTAGGCATGTGCCTTTCAACATATCCTTAAAATAAACAGCAGAAGTGCATCTAAAAACTCCAGCCATTAAATATTGCAACTTGTGGTTCCAAGAGTGATAGATTGTAATTATGGCCACTTACATACAAAAAGAGAGTTGGAAGCATTGATCACAACACAAAGAGCCAAAGAAATAGTTTCATAATTAAAGACACTTGTTTTCTATCTCAGGCTAATTTTAGGCAATGAGCCCATGCAACAGTTGCTGGAGGAAGAAGAGAGAGCAAGGGAGAGAAATACACCAGCTTCCTCTGAAGACTCACTCAGCCTTGCAAGACCTAAAGCAGCTGAACTGATGAAGCTGTTAACAATGGAGGCTGTTTGTGATTCCAAGCTAATTATTCTTCTGGAAGTTCTTTGCTCTGTAACCTGCGTAAATTTCCTGCTTAATCCCATGTCTTACTCCTATCCAATCCTGCAAAGACTCCTGATAGCCACAGCTACCATTTCAGATTTCGGGGCAGGGATTTATAGAAAGTTCAAAGGCTCCTGGATCTATTCAAGATTAGAATGAAAAGAAGGGGTGGGGTGGGGGGCTGTTTGAAAAGAAGCAGCAGCAATGGAGGTGGCACTTTATGCTGATGTTGCTTTTCATGGGTCAGGAGAATGATTGCAATGTCATTACGATGGTTTACTGTTTTGTTTTGTGCTTTGAACAAAAGGATGTGTGTCTTTGACCTGTATAGCTTGAGCGAAAGTCCACTGTATATTGTTTATAGAAAAGTGTCACCCCATGAGCAGAACTGTAATCGTCAAATGTGGCCTGTCCCTGTGTGAAGAAGAAGGTTCTACTACTGTCCTCTTTCAGGGATGTATCAGCTGACAACTCATGTGTTGTTCCATCATCCACAGGTAGAACTCGAACTCCAGAATAAGGTAGTCTCCATCAGATGCCAGGGGGCCTTTGTTGTCAGCCCACCTCATTAAGTTAACCCATTAATCTTATGGAATTGTTATTTATTCAGGAAATAACACATTTGTCCATGTGCTTTTGGTGGAGAGTTCTTCTTTAGCACAAAATCTCCTTCCTTGTGTGCAAGTTTCTGTGCATCAAGGTGCGTCATGGGAGCTGCTGAAGTCTGGAACTGTCGTGTAGAATCATGTAATTCCTCGTGTTACGTCCTCTTTCTGGTTGGTTGTTTCACAGGTCTGACTGCATAATCATCTCTTGCAGCATCCGCTAGTGATGTGCTGGAATCCTGCTGGCCCTTTTGCAACTTCTTTGCCACCCTGAGGAAGAGGCAGCTCCCCACCACCCCCTGGGCCTTCCTCTTGTATTGGGATATTGGGAGCATCTAAGAAATTTCTCAGGGTGCAAAGCTGTAGTGCTTGCCTTGCTCTATATAAGGAGGTGGCTGGGGGGCAGGTGCCCTTTCCTTTACCAGTCCTCCTCCTGCTGCTATTGCAGCTTCTCTGGTTGCTTGGGCTTCTTAGAAGCCCCCCCCCCCCCCCCCAGCAGACTTAGCCAGGACTTTCTGCTGGCAAGGGCCCAAACTGTGCATCACGACCAAATGAGTTCTCAAAAAATGGAATTTGGCAGCATTGTGACCCCCAAGCCAGACTATGCCAGTGGGCCACAAACACAAAGCATGTCATGTATGTATATCAAGAAATTAAATATATGTAAAATGGGTACATTTTCTTGGTCTGGTCTGTATGTGTGCATTTATGGAAAAGGTTGATTCATTCCTGGGAGTGGGGATGAAACTCATTTCTCTGGGTGGGTGGGGTTTGGTGGATGAAGAATGGCGATTGCATAGGAGGAGTGGAGGGAAGGCAAGCCGAAGTAAGTTGGAGGGAGGTACGGGGGGAGGGGAGGAGAAGAAAAGAAAAATCCTTCAAAGTTTAGTCTCAAGTTGTTGCTTTTCAGTACTAGGAGGAGGAATATACTGTGGTAGTGTTTGATGGTTTATAAATACAGTGCCCCTTACCAGTAATTACACTTTATA